ACCCCAGTCAGTGTACCCCTCAACTAAAATACAATTTTACCCCCCCCCCTAAAATACAATTCAGTTAAGAGCCCACTCTCCTGCTTACCTTGTTGCGTTGCAGGGAGGAGGCTGTGAGGCGGCTCGGCGGTCCCGGTTATCGGTGGTCGATTGGTAGGGTCTGCTGCAGACCTTCCCAATCGATCCTGCACAATCCTTTCGGCCAGCGTTCACTGAAAGAGCGCTGGCCGAGAGGATCCGAGTGCCGGCGCAGACTCAGCTACATGGTCTGCATCCGACAGAGATGCAGACCTTGTAGCTGCTCCCGCAAGTCAGATACGCGGTCCTCGACCGCGTACCTGACTTGTGAGCTGGCTGCCGGCCACAAAGTACCGGCTCGCAGGCCACGGGCCGGTACATCTGCCGCCCTGCCGGAATCTGCCGCTCGAGGCAAACACCTTGTTTGCCTCGCGGCAGATACACCCCTGGTCCTTGTACTCGGCATAGAAAAAATGGTATTGGTGCATCCCTACTCCCATCCATGCCCATACTGAGGTACAGACATGTAGTAATATGGACGGGAGGCAGAGTTAATGGACTACAAGTGCAGTGTATAGGCAGCTGTCTATGAGGGCACCAGGGGGGAAGGGGGCACACAAATACACCTTCACCTGTGTAGGCAAAAATCTTTGCACTGTCCCTGATGAGAGCAGCCTAGAGTGACAACACTTCTCCGCAGATAAATCACATTAAGTGAACGTTTTCACTCTAGCACAGAAGGTTTGTTACTGGCAGGATCACTAGGTGAAAATGCATTTAAAAGAAGCCTGAAAAAGGAAAACTAATGCAGCCACCACATCTAGGTACTTGTAAGTTGCAATAAATAACATTTTGTTTTTGGCTTTACATATGCTTTAAAAAGTCTTCTAAGTTTCTGAACAGCCCGTAATCAGATGTAAATCTGCACAGTAAAATAACAGTTGGTAAACACAATCTTTGAGTGCAGTTGTAAAAAACTCAAAACATTCCTTACGGAAAAGGAAAACAATTTAATAAATTAGACCAATAATGGCCCATGTCACCTAAATGTCTCATTACCTGTACATCAGATAAGAAGTCAGGTTAATTAAACAACTCCAAGTTATTTATCTTTTTACTTTGACAAAAAATCTGTTTGCTTTAGTGCTACAATTCGTTTTTCATCCATTATTTTCATGGCCCAAATCACACATGATAACAAGCTTGTTGTTTTCAGTTGACTTTCCCATCAGTTTAAATAGCAAGTTTTCTGTCTTAATGACATTATAAATGCCACTCAGGAGAAACATAAGGGTTCCGAGCACTGATTTTGAATGGCACAATGAGAGGTGGCAATTTTCCAAAAACATGCACTTTTTATAAGCTAGTGCAAGCATTTGCATATCCTATGTAATGTAATAGAATTCTGATTTTCACAAAAATAGCAATAGCTTTATTTACAGTTGCTTCAAAACTGTTGTTGCAATACATATAAACTGACATTATATACAGGTATTCAATGTAATGGTGGTACAAAGCTGTTTACAAAAAAATGTGGCACTGGTCAACGGAAAAATGTCAATGAGGCAATATTCGTGTGTTTAACTTGGTTTTCATGGCAAACAAAGTATTAATTTTTTTAAATTAATTGCAACACATGCAATGATTAAACTGTTAAGAGTTTCTTTCTCAAACCATGTCCTTCTGGATCCCATTGTTATTTGAAATTTTCTCCAAATCTTCCATGATTAAATCCTGGTCACTTGTTAGCGGTTTCCGTTTGTCAGATTCTATGTCATCACTGCTTTGCTTTTCAAAAGCTGACTCTTGGCGCCCTTGATTTTGTGAGGTGGCTGGTAAAATTGCATTGCCTTGTGCTCGATGTGAGTACATGGTTCTCCTCTCCATCTCTTCCGAACAAAGCTGGAGCTTGAAGGCAGCTTGGAACCCACGACGGAAGTTTTCATTAAAGAAACCATAAATGATTGGGTTGATGCTGCTATTAAAAAATGCCAACCAGTGTGCAAACGGGTAAATGTAAATATTGATAACTTGGTATTGGTGTTCACTCAAGTTGGCATAGTCTGACAGCATCATCAGTGTCCACAAAGGTAACCAAGATAAAATAAAGAGCAAAGCAATAATAATCAGCATTTTAATAACCTTTTGCTTCCTTCGGGAAACAGCATGCCTTTGCTGCTGGTGATTCTTACTATCAACGTTCAGTTCACTCTTAAATAAAGTAATGCCTATCCTAGCATACATAATAACAATAAGAGAGAGTGGAGCAAGGTAGATGTTGGAAAAGAGTACTGTAGTATATATTTTTCTCATGTGTGGGTTAGGCCAGTCCTCACGGCACCAATAAATGGGAGTAGTTTGATTGCTGTTGCCTAAAACAACTCGAAAGTGTTTATCTTCTTTAACATGTGACATAACTGCAGATGGACACATGATGGCGATGGCCAAAACCCAGATCACTGCGATTATGACAACAGCAGTAGAGATGGTCAGCTTCTGCTTGAAGGGATAAACAATACAACGAAACCTGCAATGACAAGAATTAAAGCAGAAAGGCATTGTAAAGTTAGTCTATTTCAACTGAAATGTGAGCATTTTACTTGCCAGAGTAAATTAGGTTAATTAAACAGCACAGCTTGAAACACTTTTTATTTTGTTACACAAAGTATATTTATATCATTGTAAATATCAATCCCTTAGGGTACTTTTAGACTATTAGATTTTAAAATTGCTGACACAGCTCTTGAAGGGAAAAAAAAACAGTGTGAGTGCAGAGTGCAACCTGCAAACACATTGAAGTCAATTTGCAATTTTTAGAGGCATTATACATTGGAATTCATATGCAAATACTTACCTCTGCTGGAGTGCCTAGGGGTACCTTTACCCCCCTTTAAGACTTTGTTAGGTGTTTCATTAATCAAATGCACTTTTTTAACTATTACTAACTAGTTTGTTTATATTTGGCTATCCTGACAAAATATGAAATAGAACATTTATAAGTGTTTGATAATCCATTGGGAATTTAGTCTATTTAATGGTCTGTGGGTGTGGCCGCAATGGAGGTTCTTGAATGAATTTTATAAAATAAAAATTTTATTTTTTATTCTAATTTTTAATTTTCCCTGATGGATTTTTGGAAAACATTTGATTATGTATATTTGAATTTTGAATATCGGTGATATGAATAGTAATATGATAGTAAATCGCCTAATCCTCTGCAGTGGTCGCACACAGTGAGGTTTTTTTTTTTTTTTTTAATACATCATTAACAATATTTTTTAAATACTTGCAGTGTAAGCACAGAAATTTAACAATGGTATCAGCTTCTTGCAATCTCCTATACAGCAGAGCTCAGATAGGGAGAGGGAGAAACAGTACAAGGAGCCAATCAGTTATGCTCAGAACAGTGACAGGGAGAGCTTGTTAGTCTGCTTGTTCTCCTTGCACTGGCCAGTCATAGGTGAGTGGGGCGAAAAACCTAAAGCCCCATTCACACCAATGCCTATAATGATTGTGCATCAAACGTGCACGCTCTTCAAAGCATGTTAATGACACGTGCACAAAGGCGTAACTAGCTAATGGTACCCCAAATGCACTGACCAAAGGCAGTTTTTTCCGGCGCCTTTGTGTGTGTGAGTGCGCACAGATGCATTGGAAAAAATGCAGAGTGCATGTCACCAAATTTGCGACATGTACTTCTTTTCCACGGTTGGTGCACATCCAGGAATCCAATAGGTCGGAATGCGCAGTCCTGTGATGCGCGTCCCCTCTGTGCCCCAGTGTGAATCTGGCCTAAGAGTTTTACTTAGCAGCAGACAAAAATCAGGTCTCCTGCCTTGCCAATAAATCCTAGGACTGTATGACCTTTGGGGTGTTCGAGCTGTGCCGCCGCACAGGGTGCCATGGCAACAAGGGCGCCAGGCGGCTGACACAGCTTGTCCTCCGCGCGGCTACAGCCTGCGGCTTCTCTTCTCCTCACCGCTGGCAATCCGACATGACAGCAATCCCTCCTCCCCCTGCCCGCTTCATCGCTGTCCTCGATTCAGGATGACAGCGGCTGTGTGCGTGGCCGAGCGGAGGATCGGTAAATATCTGTGACATTTACAGATACTCAGTGTGTGCGGAACAAACACTGGAGTGATCGTCTGATCACTCCAATGTTTGTAAATAACTGGTGACACATAGTGAATGAACAGGAAGTGATTTACCTCACTTCCTGTTCATTCATACATTTCTGAATGGGGAGTAGCACTCAGTACAGAGGCTCCTCCCCATTCATAAACTGATGATAGTAAAATATTTTACTATCATCAGTTTCTAAAAGAAATGGTAAGCCTCTGTACTGAGTGCTTCACATTCATTGAGCGCAGAGGCTGCAGATAAAGAAATTGAGGACTTTGTGTTTAGACCCCTAATATTTCTTCTGAAGCCCCCAACCCCCCCAACAGTAAAAAAATAAATAAAAATAAATAAAAAATATAACACTGCACGTGTTTGGCGCCGCCATCTTGGTGTATATCTAGGTATACACCAAGATGGCGGCGCCTATATCAGCGTGTGACATCACCTGACACCACGCATGCATGGCGTCATGTGACATCAACAGCCACTGCATTCTAGGTTTTCAACTACCAACCCACAGTCTATGAAGCAATAGTACTGTGTTGAGTTGTGTTGTTTTTCCTTTGATCACGTGATGGTAGAATCTCAAACTCACCGTTGAGATTGTGAGTGACGCCTGAGATTCGTATCTGATTGATCCTATTACTCCGCAGTTGAGATCCACTATTGTAAAAACTGCAGACGTGACAGGGAGGGGGCGGGTACAGCTGGCTCTGCCTCTAGATAGGCAGTGCCAGCTGTCACTCACGCAGCTGGGCGGATCCAGACATAATTGTAGGGATCCGCTTCAGCTGCGGCATCGCGAACTTACTTGAAAAAAGGGTCGGCATGACATCCTGACACTTTATTTTTATAGACTCTATTTTAGTTTGACATTTATTTATTTGACATGGTTGTTTGCCTTCTGTTGTTTTATTTAATAAGAATACTAATATTGTGCCTACAAGTTTAACACCTTTAGATAAGTTTTATTTTTATCATACTTTTTAATATGTTTCTTTGGGGCTTAACAAAATGGGAGTCTTTGAATGGTGCGAATATTGGAGAAATGGGAGTAGCCACTGAGGGGTGTAGTTACTGAGGGGTGTGGTCACTGAGGTGCGCTGTAGAGCTTTCTCGCACAGGGCGCCTGGATGGCTGCCTAAATGGTTGCCTGTTTAATAATGAAATTCACGAAACTAACACCAGTAGCACCTAGCTAAAAAAAGGTTTGGACTCCGAACTCCCTGCCATGATGTAATCGAGATAAGGCCTTGCCCCTTCTCCATTTCACCATGTAATGTTCAGGGAGTGAGCATCCTTTAGCAGGACCAAGCATTGTCATATGGGAGGGGCATGGTTGTGTGCAATTGCAAAATTGTCAGTTGCATGGCTGGTTCAGGAAGCACCATGGGTCACCTGACTTCAGTTTCTACATGAACAGTTATGTGTTGACAGCTTCTGCCATTTGCTAGTGTTAGTAATGCGACACTGTGTTATCCATAGGATCACTTTAAAGAGAATATATAGCTTTTTTCTATGTTTTTATAAACAATTAAAAGAGATCATCTTTATGGAATGTGTTGATTATTAAACTTATATTTTGCAGTTATGTATGTACATGGAGACAGACACATTTGCTTATTACCTATGCATCCTTTGCTTTCTGCTTTCCAATAGCTGTATTTTTTTTTGCTCCTTCTCACAGTGTAAATCTACAGTAAAGAACTTATTGAAAAAAATTAACTCCTTATGGGTGTTATTAAAAAACAGACTGAGTAGCTACACTAACACACTGAGAGCTCCCTCTATTGGCTAGTCTACAAATCTTTGCAATCAAAACAATAACAGAAATATGGTTGAGAAAACACATAAAATGTTCACATCAAAAGGTCATATGAAAACAATGTAATAACATCTCAAAACATAAGTTTACTTAAAATACAGAACACTTTCCTGTTAACACAGTGGTCTGTCAAGTTGCTTCTTGTGGGTAGCACAAACCTTTTATAGTGATTCTTAGTGCATCTAAATTGCACTATAAGGACCCATGCACATGGCAGGAAAAAAACAAAGCTGCATTTTTATCTGTACATCTGCTTTATGTTTTTTTTATGAATCTGAATGCAGGTGTATTATTTTCTATGAGCCCATACACACAGTGCGCAAAGACCAGTAAAACTTGCAAAGCAGCTTTGTAAGATCAGCATCGAAAATTCTGCATCAGCGGTCTTCCATATGGACCTTATTTTACATCGTACATATGTAAAGGCTTGTGCTAACATTTATATGTTTACCGCAAAAATTTACTCTATTGGCCTGCTCATGGTTGATATGTAAATATTAACAAGGTGTAATCAGCTTGATTACACATTATTGACTTAACATGTTGGCCCTGAAAGGTCTTCTGCATCCCAAAACAACTAAGGACGCTAGGTGGCATCAGCTCCCTGTGTGCTAGCAACTAAGGACTCAAGGTGTCGGAGGCTGTCTACATCCTGTCAATTAAGGAATCTAGGCATCAGGGTCTGCATAGTGTTCTAGAAATGAATATGGCTAAAAGGGTACATTTATACTATATGCTGTACTCATAACGCAGCACAGAAATGTTACATGCCTATAGTGTACAGACAAGACCAGGGAGGGACTGATCATTCAGGCACTGCCTGCGGCCAGGAGGGGGCCCGTCATTGACCCCCCCGCTGCCCTTTTCAGCCCGCATGAAAGAAGAGGTAGCTGTGTGCACCATCTCCATGCTCTTTTTGGTTGCGCCACTGTCAAACTAGTAGATGCGGCTGTGTGAAAGTGGCGACGGCAGTGTCCGCCCACCAGATACTGCTGTCGCCGCTTTAACACAGTCGCATCTACTAGTTTTGCAGAAGCTCGGCCGCAAAGAGCATGGAGATGGCGGGGGGTGTCACAATGGGTGGGGGGGTGTAGAGCCCGAGGGTGGACCTACCACCGGTGCAGCTGCACAAGGGCCCAAGGCTGGGAAGCCCCCCTGAGATCTGGTCCCTGGATTCCTGAGCTTCGGGCACTCCACTGGAGGAATGGTGCCCGCATATGCACCAGGTGAGACCGCTGCATCTGCTACTGGTGAGACCTCTGCATCTGCTCCTGGTGAGACCTTTTTTATCTGCCCCTGGTGAGACCTTTTTTATCTGCCCCTGGTGAGACCTTTTTTATCTGCCCCTGCTGAGACCCTCCGCACCTGCCCGTGCTGAGACCCTTCACAACTGCCACTGGTGAAACCCTTCACATGTGCCACTGGTAAAACCCTCTGCATCTTCCCCTGCTATTATCTGCCCCTGGTGAGACCTTTTTTATCTGCCCCTGCTGAGACCCTCCGCACCTGCCCGTGCTGAGACCCTTCACAACTGCCACTGGTGAAACCCTTCACATGTGCCACTGGTAAAACCCTCTGCA